CCGGCCTCTGCCCCCGCCGTGCCCGGCTGCGGTCTGGCCGGACAGCCCGAGTGTCAGGGCTCGCGGCGCGGCGCCGCTTCCCGGCCGGCCGGGTAAGGCGGGCGGGGGCGGCCCCGGCAGCGCATCCATGCCCGCAGCACGCGGCCGGGCTGGGCAGCCGTGGGCGGCGGCGGCCCGGGCAGTGCCGCCCGGCAGCGGGGCGGGGAGCGGGGAAGGTGCGGGCGAGGGAGGGGGCGAGGGCGGCTCTCACTCCTGTACTCTCCTCTCTTATCTCCTTCTCGGTACCCCCGCCTCCGACCTTCGCCGCTGCCGGGATCGTGTCTTGCACCGGCCTGTCCTCCGAGAAGTGGCGAGGGCGGCCCGGCCATGGAGACCCTCGTGCGCCCCGGGGCCAGCAAACCCCCTACCGGGTAAGCTCCGCCGAGACCCGGGTCGGACCGGCCGCCACTCCTCTCCACGGGCGGGAGTGGCTCCGGACGGCGACGGCGGCCGTGCTGGCCGGCGGGCCGCGGTGCATTCCCTCCGTCCCGCTTCCCTCTGGGGCGCCGAGCAGGTGTCGGCGTCCGGCCCGCTCGGAGCACGGCCCGGGGACGGAGGGGGCACAGCGGAGAGCAGGGGGCGGCAGCGCGGTGAGCTCGGGTGCAAAAAGGTCAGGAGCAGGAGAAAGTGCCTGTTTCGCCTTTGCCCTGCGGGAGGGGCTCCCCGGCCCGGCTGCCGGCGCTGCCCCTCTGGCTGCGAGACCGGAGAGCCGGTTCGGTTCGGGGCTTGTTTCCTTCAGAGGGTGGCTCCGGGCTGCCCTGCGGGACAAAGGGCAGCCGCTGCTTGCAGCTCCCGACCCGCGCCACCGGGGCTGGAAGGGACGCTGGCAGGGAGGGAGCCGGAGCCGGGGCCACGGCGGGGCTCGGGGAGGACCCGTCCGGCTGAGGGTGCGGGGAGCCCCCGCGGCCGCAGAAGGTCTCGCCCATACGCCCGTCTGCCCGAGCGCCAGGACGCAGCTGCCAAAAGGCTTTGAAAGGTTTATTCAGCCGTTGGTCTCAGCCCCATCGCACGGCCGCGGCAGAGGAAGGAAGAGCACTGCCAACCGCGAATTAACGTGACCAAAAATGTCCGAGGTCGGTGAGAGACAACCCCCCGGTGCCGGAGAGACTGCTCCCACCGGTGCCTCTTGCCTTTAGTGACAGGCACCGCTCTCGCAGCACTATTACTAAGTAGCGGTCAGCCCGAGTGCAGACCGCGGGAGGGTCAGGGGTTGTTCAAGAGAACAGACAAGTAGAAGATATGCCATCAGTGGAATTTATTAGTCCGTTAATTAAACGACGAGAGTAGCAGCACGATGAGGTCCTAAGTGATCTCTTTTGTCAGAGCAAAAGCTGGGCAAGTTTTAAGAGCTGCGCTGTCTGCTCACAGCAATTTACTGCTCTACTTCACACTGTCTGCGCAGACTGAAAGACACTGATTGCTTCAGCAGGTTTTTTAGTTTTAGTTCAAATGTTTATATCATATATTTATTTTCAGCAAAGTAGGAAACAGCTCTAAAGTATGTGCTAGTCGGCTATAGTAGTTTTGTTCAGTTTAGTTTCCTTAGTTTGTGTTTAATAGGGAACCATGCACTCTACACAGAAAGTAGTACAGGGAGCCGTGAGCGAAGAAAAGATGCCATTGCTAGTGCTGCAGTAATGAAACAGTGTGTGCCATGTCTCTTTGACTTGCAGAGTAGTACATAGCTTGCTGCTCTTTTTGTAAACAAAATACTTAATTCCAGCTGAAAATGAACCTGTTTCATCATGACCTTTTAGGCTAGCCTTTCAGGAAGAGTGGTAGATGTAAGGTGCCTCCCCTTTCTGTATTTAGTTGATGTAACAGTATAGCTGCTTTCTAAAATCCTGATGAAGAGAGGAGATCTATGGTGCCAATTTACATGCGTACTTTGAAGAGTAATTCAGATGCAGTGCTGACTAAAAATTTGTCTTAACTGCTAGTGGACAGCTAGGTATCCAAAGATTAATTTTAAAAGTTTAATTAGCAATGGGAATGCATGTCATTGGTGCATCTCAGAGAGGGGCCTGGGGGCATATCTGAATAAAACTCCTGAATCCTTTGCAACCAGTTTCATCTGTGTAAACTTGTCCACAGCCAGACTCAGATATCATGTTCATGAACAGAAATTACAGTAACTGCATTAGCTTCAGTCATATTGCTGCTGACATGGCTCAAGGAGATGAATCCAATCATAGGGTGCAGATGCACTTGTGATATTATGTAACAAAGTGTGTGGGTGCTAATATGGTCATGTGGAAGCTGATGGCAACACTGTGGTGTGCACCATGGGGAGACTGCCTGTTTTATCTGTGCTCATTTCATCCTTGAATTACTTTGTGTTGCCTTTTCTTTAAAGTTTGACCTTACCAGCCTGGATGTGTCCGTGCTGTTAGCAGGGGACGTCACTGAGTAATTCCCAGAGTTGCTATCATCCATACTGGACACTGGTGGATGTTTGATCCTTAATCAGATTTTACTCAGTGATGAAATCTGTTAGGGTCAGGAAAGTGCAGCAAGAGCACAGCTTTGTCCTTTTTGGTTTCCATACAAATCCAGACGTTAGCTGCACCTGTGGAGCGTGGCTGAGGACCTCTGGCTGTTAAGGCCATTGTGACAGAAATACCTTCTTTTCATGGCAGAAGACATGCTATACACGTTTCCAGCTTATTGATTGGCTTAGCTTGCAATTATGAAAGAGAGATTAAAATGAAGGTAGCTTCACAATTTTAAAAAAAAAATTTAGGCAGAGCTGTTTTGTCTCAATGTAAATCATTAACAGTGACATTGTTACCCTCCCTTGTTAAACAGTGAACAAATTTTAATGTATCATTTTGTGTAAGGTAGAGCAGCTCTGCTGTGTGCTTACACAGCTAAATCGATATGTGCATTCCATGGCACAGCTCCTTGAGAATTATGCATTTAAATGTAGAATACTGTTGGTTTGGGGTTTTTTTTTATTAAATGGCAAAGGAAAAAGTGCACTTTGTGCCGGTGTTGCAGGGTTTTTCTAATTTTTTGGTTTCAAAAATAAATGTAGACTTCAGAACCGATAATTTTGTTATTACTGATTGCTATATAAGTTTTTTAAAAGCTTTACTAAGTTCATAATGCTTTTATGTAATGAACATTTATTTTGGTTTATGAAAGTGAATTTAAGACAATCAGTAGCAACAGCAGAAGTTATGATTTACTCTGTGATTATGCAATGGATACTAAAAGACAAATACACTTTTTAAAGTATCTTTCTTTTGTATCTGCCCGTTTTTCACTAGGGAGAGCAGAGAGAATCTTCACTGGGTGTTTCAGTTGGTTTCTTTTTTCACTGTAATTTGGCATAACATAATTTATTTGGTCATAAATGGCACTGCAAGCTCAAGTATCAGTTCTGTTCTGCTCTGTTAGGAGCCTTGGAAAGAACAAAGAATCTTCCCTGGCCACTGAAGGCATCTTCATCTCCCACAGAAGCCAGCAGTTTATGGATCCATCTTCATGCCTGTGTCTGAGCACAGAAAAGCTTCTTCTGGAGTCTGGCAAATGTAGGGAAAGCCTTTGTATTAATTGGGATGTATGAGTGTTTTCTTTAAGTAGGAACTTTATTTTCTGTGCTTCAATTTCTTTCCCTATCTCACAGGGCCCTGTAGTACTAACAAATACAGGCAAATCTTAGCACACCTGTTTTGGATTGACTTCCCTGTTGGATTGAAGTGTCCCTGGAAGTCAGATAAGTATGTGAAACATCAGTAATTTTTACATGCAGAACCGGGGAAAGCGAACCCCCAGCTACACAGCGAGTTGCGCATCTAAACTTTCAACAAGTTGAAACCTGTTCTTGCTATTTTATAACTACTACACATAGTTAAACAGATTACTTTGTGAAACTGCACAAACAGCTTTAAAAATATATTATTGTTGTGTTTAAGGTTTTATTTTCTTGTCTAGAAGAGCCTGGAGAGCACTGTTGTGCACAGAACATCTATTAGTCTGTGTAACAGTAGTTATATCATACTCTAGCTCACCTCCAGGTATTGCACAATTTAGGGTAAAAAGAAACATGTAATTAGTTTTTAATTGCATACCTGAGCAATTTGTATATGTTTTCTGTGTTTTGTATTTATATGAGATTTCTGTGTAGTGTGCAGAGTTTTGGATGGCAAAGGATTACAATGACTGCAAGAAATGTAGAGTAGCAGTGCATTAAAATCACAGAGTGGTTTGGGTTGAAAGGGACCATAAAGATCATCTCGTTGCAGCTCTCCTGCTGTAGTCAGGGACACCTTCCAGTAGACCAGGTTCCTCAAAGTCCCATCCAGTCTGGCCCTGAACACTGACAGGGTTAGGATATGCACAGCTTCCCTGGGAAACCTGTGTCTCATCATATGGCAAAAAAATTATTCCTAATATCTCATCTAAAACGCCTCTCTTTTAGCTTAAAGCCATTTGCCCTTGTTCTATCCCTGCATGGTAGAAACTTTCAAGATTGCTGCCTTGACCAGCTGCTAAACTGGCACTCGTGCTTTTGGCATTGGCCTTCACATTGTTCCATTATTTGTATCTGCACCACTCCTGCACAGTTCAGTTGATTCACTTCACTTCTTATGTGTCCATCTGAGACAGGGAGCTTCCCTGTGATGCATTTTTCTGGCACCACCATCAACACTAACCCAGTCTTCCTCTCAGTCTGGGCCCAAAGTATTTATGTGTCAGTGGAGATACATCACATTAAATAAAACTCTGGTAGTAATGACAGAAGAATTGTGCTTGCTATTGCATAGAATGAAACAGGGCAATTTTTTCTGTGTTTGGTACCTCAATATGAATGAAACTGTTAAGCTAATATACTGTAACAGATCTGTATTTTCAGTCATGACTAATATCTCAGCATTGCTGAAGATAAGAATACTAATTGTAAGAGTAAAACAAATGGCAACAAAAATGCAATGCAATCCAGTCCTGACAGCAGTTCTTTCTGAAGTCCAGGCCCCTATTTCTCATATCTTATTTTTCCTTTATTTTTTTTCCCTTTTCTTTTCTTTCAGAAACCTGCCACATTAGAGAATGAAGGGGTTATAAAATCTCTTTCATCTCTACTGTCTAGAATATTTTGGATTTGTTTTGACTTTCCACATCTCCCAATTGTCTCTCATTATTTTCTTCCTATGTAATCTTTTATATTCTTTTACCTTGCTATTTTATGCCACTCCTGCCACTATTAGATGAAATTGAACCTTCTCTTTGTTACTGTCACCTGTCTTAGTTGTTGTTCATGTTCTTTCCCTTAGAATTTCAGTTTCATTTTTCTTCAGGTTTTGCTCCTGTAAATTTACATCTTGCTCAAATTGCTAGTCTTCATGGAATCATTTCACTGCTCTGC